ATATTAATTATTTTATATAACTTTTGGATAGTTTCGGATTTTTCGGCATTGAATCGAGAATTTTACGCGACGCGATAATCGAAAAGTGGACTTTGAGACGAGGTAAGTCTCTTGTCTAATCTTGTGAGCGGAAAATTACCCCATAGGGATTAAATTGAATAATTATTGCTAATTGCGGGGGCTACGTATGCACGAGGTGACGAGAGTCCGTACGTAGCTACTATAAATGCTAAAGTCCGGGTAGTTTAGGACTCAAAGCATGAATTATTTGTGTGAATTATATTCTCTAATTAATTAATATTAAATTGATATATATGAATATATTGTGAATTGTTAGTTAAAGATATTAAAGGATGAAAATCTCATATGCTTGATTTTCTATTTAAATCAATTGTTCTTCCTCCCGAATTTATCTCATAATAAATATATTCTCCTTCCGGAGGTACATAAGAAAATGTCCTCCTTTCTTGTGGAGCGGGCCGAACGCCTCGACAGGATAGATGCATCTATGGATCGCGCCGCACGTCCCTCGGCACTGTACACGACACTCTGGATCGGGTCGTACGTCCTCGGCAGAAATCGTACTTAATAATAATAATTACACAATACTTTAATAGTTATTTCAGCTTGCGAAGCTAATTGATAAATTAGAAAAATCCTTGAAATTTAATGAATTATTATTCTTGCTTGTTAAAGAATTAAATTATTATTCCTGTAAATGATATTTAATTATTAAATTAGAAATTGTTTGAATTGAAGGAATTTTATTAATATATTGAGAGTTGTTAGATTTGAAAGAATATGATTATTTCCGATGATTAAATAAATTATTGTAAATTCTGTAAATCATGTTGATTTAAATATTCGCATTGTATTTCAATTATTATTATTGACCCATAGTGAGTGTCAAAGTCGGCCATCTCGTCTCTACCACTTCGAGATTAGGTTTGATACTGTAACGACCCGGCTGGTCGTTTCGAGAGTTATAGCCCCGTTTTTCCCATTTCTACTTCTTTTTGTGTTATTCAGCAATATTATGTTATATCGGGTTAGTTGGTTCGGGTCCAGAATGGTTTCAAAGTGAATTGATACACTTAGCCTCTTAAGTAGAAACTTAAGTTGGAAAAGTCAACCGGATATTTACCTATGTGTAAATAACCTTGAATTTAAATTCTGATGGTTCCGTTAGCTCAGTCAAGTGATTTTCGACTTAGGAGTGCGTCCGGAATGTGATTTAGAGGTCCGTGGTAGAATTAGGCTTGAATTGGCGAAATTAGAAATTTGGCGATTTCGGTCGGCAGTGAAAAATTTGATATCGGGGTCAGAATGGAATCGGTAAGTTGGAGTAGGTTCGTAGTATCATTTGTGACGTGTGTGCAAAATTTAAGGTCATTCGGACATGGTTTGGTTGGTTTCGGCATCGGTTGCCGAATTTGGAAAATTTAGAAGTTCTTAGGCTGGAATCCGAGGGTAATTTTATAATTTGATGATGTTTTGAGTAATTCGAGGGTTCGACTAAGTTGGTATGTTGATGTATGACTTGTTGGTATTTTTGGTTGAGGTCTCGAGGGCCTCGGGGCGATTCCGGGTGGTTAACGGATTTGTCGAAGTTGGAAAATGCAGCTGAAGCTGCTGCTTCTGCTATTTCCGCACCTGCGGAAGGAAGAGTCGCCGGTGCGAGGCCGCTGGTGCGTAGGGGAAGTCCGAAGGAGCGGGTGATGATGGGCTAGGCAGGATGCGCAGGTGCGAGTTGGAGGTCGCATCTGCGATCCCGCAGGTGCGAAACCTGGGGCGCAGATGCGGAAAGGGGGACGCTGGGCAGGCTTCGCAGAAGCGGAGGAAACGCGCAGGTGCGCCTTCATAGGCACGGAGTTTTGGGCCGCAGATGCGGAAGCTGGACTCCTAAGTGAGTTCCGCACCAGTGATGGATTTTTCCGCAGGTGCGGTGGCGCATAAGCGTGAAATTTTCCGCAGGTGCGAAAAACCTGGGCAGAAACCATAAATAGAACCCTTCGCGAATTTGGTTCATTTCCACCATTTTCAAATCGGTTTTTGGAGCTTTTGGAGTGATCTTTGAAGGGTAATTCAAGGGCTATCAGTGAGGTAAGTTGCTTGAGCCCTAATACTCGTATATATATTGTGATTTTCCGTTGTTTAATCATATAATTAGTGAAAACGAGGGGTTAGGAATTGGAATTTTTGGAGAGTAATTTAAGAATTTGAAGGACCAAACGATGTCAGATTTTGATGAATTTGGTATGGTTAGACTCGTGAGTGAATGGGCTTTCTCGTTTTGTAAATTTTGTCATATTTTGAGATGTGGGCCCGGGGGCCGGGTTTGAGCCAATTTTGGATTTTAGTCTAATTTTGTAGCTTTTCTTGTGGAATTCATTCCATTAGCATATATTGATGGTATTGTACTGATTGTGAATAGATTTGGAGCATTTGGAGGCCGATTCGAGAAGCAAGAGCATTGCGGGGTAGAGATTTGACCGATTTGAGATAAGTAACGATTGTAAATCTAGTCCTGAGGGTATGAAACCCCGGATTTCGTATCATTCTACTATTTTGAAGTGACGCACATGCGAGATGACGGGTGTGTGGGCGTGCACTGTTGGGGATTGTGACTTGGTCCGTCCCGTAGCAACTGTAAAGTTGCATATTTTGTGAAAATTATATGATACTTATGTGTTTTTAGAAAGAGTTTCTGTTAATTGGGTTGAATGCCATGTTTGATGAGCCTTGTGCCAGTGCTGTTTGGACCCTTAGGGGTTTTATTTTATTTTTATTATCCTCTCACTGTTTTCGATTGAAAATCTATACTCAGTCATGGTTATACCTATTTACTGCATAACTCAGTTTTATTATTCGATTTTGATGCATATAAATATTGTTTTGGGCTAAGCACCCTGTTTTTACTGAAATGCCCGAGTGGCTTGAGAGGTTTATGACTGAGTGAGGCCGAGAGCCTGATTTGTGAGGATATTTATGGTATCGGACTGCACGCCGCAGCATGTTGCATATTTATGGGATCAGGCTGCATGCCACATCATGTTTGATATAGGCCAAGGGCCCGAGTGATTTATGCCATGATTTGGCTTGATATAGCGCTTGGGTTGAAGGAGACCCTCCGGAGTCTGTACACACCCCTAGTGAGCGCAGGTACCTACTGAGTGCGAGTGCCGAGTGCTGAGTGACTGGGAGGCATGACTGATTGTGAGGTATGCCCGAGTGGCAAGAGTGATTGTGAGGTATGCCTGAGTGGCACGAATGACTGTGAGATTTGTCCGAGGGGCTGTTTATGATTTCATCATTTTTGCTCACCTTTGCATTGAGCCTTGTTTGAAAAACTGTTGAAAAATATCTTTAAATGATTTTTACTGGAACTGAGATTTCATGATATGAATGTTATATGCTTTATTGCTCGTCACTACTGCTCAGTCTTTATTTATTATTGTTACTTACTGAGTTGGCGTACTCACATTACTCCCTGCACCTTGTGTGCGGATCCAGGTGTAGCTGGATACGGTAGCGGTTGTTGATTGTTCTGGTTGCAGATTTTCTTGAAGATAGCAAGGTAGCTATTTGGCGATCGTAGCCCCTACTCTTCTCCCTCTTATCTTCCTCTAAGTTGTATTTAGCTATTTTTCAGGCTGAGTTAGCCTTGATATTGTTAGACAGATTGTAGTAGATACTCATGATTAGTGACACCCCGATGTCGGGTTTTTTCTTTCGCACTTTTATTTTGATTGGAACTCCTTTACGAAGGTTTTTATGTTAAATAACATTGAAATTATCTTTGAAATGAAAATATCGGTTTGTTTTGGAAATGAGTCGGCTTGCCTAGTTCCACGATAGGCGCTATCACGACAGGGGTTAGTTTGGGTCGTAACAGATACTTACTGGGTACACGTTGTTTACGTACTCATACTACACTTGCTGCACTTTTTGTGCAGGACCTGAGGCAAGTACTAGTGGGGGACCTATCGTCTTACACCCACGTTATCCAGTGGCATAGTGGTGAGCTGTCTTTCTGAGTCGTTCTGCAGCTACTAGTATCTCTCCTTGTATTTTTCATTCTGTCTATTTTATTTCAGACAGTATTTGAGGTTTTGTATAATCTACTAGATGCTCATACACTTGTGATACCAGGTCTTGGCACACACATTGATAGAGTTTGGGTTTTATTATATATATATTTTTTTAAATTTTATCAATGTATGCTTAATTTATCAGTTGGCTTGCCTAGCTGTAGTGTTGGGCGCCATCACGACTTGTAGGTGAAATTGGGTCGTGATATTCGTGTTTCTATTTTTGGGACAAATATATTTTAGAAAGTGTACTTTTCCGCAAGAGAACAAAAAGGAAAAGATTAAAAAAATGAATGTAAAAAAAAAATGATAAATCTGTTGCTTGAGAAAAGTGAGTCATTGAATTCTCATCACCAAAAAAAGAAATGTCTTTGAATGTCAATTCAAAAGTATCAAGAATTCCAACTAGTAGACTTGTTTTAAGGTTCTTTTGACTTGAATTCAAGTGATAAATTTTAAGAAAAAAAATTATAATTTTATTTAGCAATGAAGCTTTTTAAGGATGTCAAGGTTCTATATGACACGTTCTTTAGAGAACTTAAGCTATATATACTAAAAGTACAAATATTTATTTATGTTATCACTAAATTTTAATACTTATCAAGAGATTTACTAATAATGGGAAGAGAGAACCGGTAGGGTACAGGTTTCCAAAAGAGCCTTGATTGCTTGGGATAGATTGTGCCTGCCAAAGTCTGTAAACTACTGGTGGCTTAAATATTTTAGATATCCAAGCTTGGAACAAAGCTCCAATCTGTAAACTAATGTGGAATATTTGTTAGAATAAAGATAAACTATGGGTAAAGTGGATACATAGCTATTATGGGAGAAATAGAAACCTATGGTTGAGCCAGCCAACGCAAGCATCATAGTTGGTACAAAGAATTTTGAAAGCAGCAAATTAAGCATATGGAATCAGTGGGGTTAAAAGAATCAGATCTTACTCTAATGCATGATTTTTCTATTCAGCAGATGTACTTGAAGCTTAGAGGTGATTTTTCCAAGTGTCCCCGGAGGAGATTGACTTGTAACAACTATGTTGCTCCTAGATGGGTCTTTATTCTATACCTGGCTTTAAATGGAAGACTTCAGACAATAGACAAAATAGCTAAATGGAGTGTAATCGATGACTTAATCTGTCCTTTGTGTACAGAGGTTCCAGAAACACTAGATCATCTGTTGTTTAAATGTTCAATATCGTCTATGATATGGAAGAAGATTCTACAATGGCAAGGAGTGGACAAAGGACCATATGAATGGAAAGATGAAGTTGTTTGGGCAATAGACCATGTAAAAGGCAATTCTGCTAAAGCACATATTTACAGGATGAGTTTGGCTGCATGTGTGTATTTCATTTAGATGGAGAGAAGTTTGAGATTGTTTCAGTAAAAAGTGAGATCAGTAGTAGTTAAAATAATTTCTCAAGAAGTGTATTGCAGGGGTCATATGAAGAAGAAACTAGCAGGGAGTATGAAGCATTTGGTAGCTGATGTTTTAATACTAGTTCTGTTTGCTTTTGCATAAGGAATTGTTTTCTGGTAATGAGTAGCTGAGAAGTGCACAAGAGTGTTGGGACAGAATGTCCAAACTCTTGTTGATTTGTGTTGTACTTATTTCTTACTCAGTAAATAAAATTATTTGTTTACCAAAAAAAATAATGGGAAGAGAGCAATCACGATAGATATGATCGAAAGAAATAAATTTCTATAAAAACCAAAAACTCATTAGTTAAATTAGTCATCTCTCAACTTATTCTTCATCATTTTTCTCTTCATATATTAAATATTAAAGCAGCTCAAATTCTTAATTCCATTATTGAAAAAATAAAATAATTTCCCTCCACTGTCACAGTTTGTATAATTAAGCCTATAAATCCGCCCATGTTCTACTTGACGTATTTTTCGAAAGACTACTTTGTAGACCGAAAGATTAGAAAATATTTGAAGTTCCTACGCAATGAATTAAATTAAATACATCTCCAGACACAGAATTATTGGTATTCATTCCTTTTTCTGAAAAAGCTATATATATTTTTATATTCAAATATTTGAAAACATCCCCAGTAAAGGATACACTGCATTTTTCAGTGTCATACATATAGTTGCCAAAATATCTTTTAACAGTCCTATATTTGTGTTATAAGGATATCTGCTTATGATATCAATCACCTACCGGAAAAGAAATAGAATAGGAAATTATTCAGTTGTTTCAGGCATATCGTTAAATACCTTAACTGTATTAAAGTTCTTCCCTTTTTAGCCTTTAGTGTGTTGCAATTTGTGCACCTGAGAAGAAAATTTAATAGAAGCGCTTGAACAAAAATAACCACATGGATACTCACAATTCACCCAAAAGAAATTTAATAAAAGAGGAAGAATACATATAAATCAAGAATCCAAAATCTTATAGTACACTTAATTATTAATATAAGACAATACAAAAACGCGTATTATTAGAATTACCTTCGAATCAATAATTAAGATGCATGTCACTTTCAATTTCCATAGACCTAGTCCAATTTCACTTATTACCACTTAAAGTAAATTATTAAAATAGCGACTACATAGACTATAAAGGACCTCTTAATTCTTTACAAGGAATCGACTATTTAATTATTATTCTTCATCACTCCTTCTCTATACTTATAAACATTAAAAGGAGTGACGGAAGCATGATTCTCACTAAATAGATTCAAAATATAATTAAAAAAAATACGCGAAGAAATTAAAGGATTCAACATCTATTATATATACATAAAAAAACATTTAACCTTATATGTATGCTGTGATTTTCGGTGATGGGGTTAGGCTGAATCACCTTCCAGCCCTAGCTCCACCCTAATTAAGAGTAGCTCAAATACTTCCATATATATA